TGTTTCAGTCTCTTGGAGAAAGCTACTGTTGTTGTAGTTATGTTTTTGCAGGTCTTGTGTAAGGCTGGTTTATAACTAGCTGTTGTCTGTCATAGTTTATCAAAATATTTACATTATTGCTTGGCATTTTTTGCCATTCTTGCTTTTATCACAGTCCCATATTTTTCTTCCATTCCAGGTGTTACAACCCCTTCATCCGTAAAAACATAATTATCTTCATGAATATTTTTGGGCTTACTTTATTGAAGAGATACTAGTCTGCTATCAAGATCAGTCATTCTTGTCATTAAGACTTATCCTCGAAATTTTCGAAGGAGAAAGCATGTTATTGCTATAGACTGATGTTTTTCCTGGCACACACTTCTTGTTTCAAGTCAGTCCAAGCCTCTGAGCTAACATATTGGACTGGAATTGTGAGTTAAGGTTGACTGGAGTGGTACTATGCTTTATAAATTAGTAGCTTATGAAGTTAGTCCGAGTTTAGTAATGAAGTATTGTTAGATAGTTGTACATTATTATTTAAACAAGTATTATTTAAAATAAAAATAGAGCTGCAACATTTAAAGAGTGGAGAAAGTTGGAAGACACTATGTAGTTGATAATTTCATGTAATCGATAAATACTCCAGTAGAAGTCTTCTTTTTAACTTTGTTCATATTTTATAATTGCTACAAGGGTTATAGAATTAGAAGTTGTGTTACCTTTGTCAATAACTGTTAGCCTTAATTTGCCAAACCTTTTTTTGTTTGTTTTTTATTTTGTTTTTGCTAGCACGGGGGAGGGGGGGTTGCTATTTGCATTCTTCAAAAGTTTCAATTGGGTATTTTACATTGGTGATGTGAAGAAACATCAACAATTTATTATTTATAACTAGTATCTTGCAGATATAATCTAGGTTATCTGGACACTTCATCTTGTCTCCTGTATCCGTGTCGGACACTCCTTAGATACTTCTTGAGTATATACATACATTTATGCAGCCATGTGCTCAATTATACAATACATGTTTTAGTTCAAGACACTCGTGGTACATTTCTTGGACGTTTATCTTACACTTTACATCAAATTTCTGCATCATGTTGGACTCGGATCGGGAATATTTATGCCCTTATCATGTTCATAAGTATGATTTTGAACGATGATTTGAATATCTAGTCCTAAAGTGAGTACTTTTTCAATTTATAATCACTGAATGAAAGAAATATAAATAAGTTATTTAAGACTTTAGTTCTGATAATATGTAATAAAAAACAATATCGATCTCATATATTTTATTAATTTCAATAATTATATATAGAGCCATGTCCTTATATCCTACATTTTACAAATTTGTTGTGTCCCGTATCCACATCTGTGTCCATTTCCCCACCCGTACCTGTGCAAGATATAATACATTTTGTAGCTATAGTATTTATAAGATTATTATAAATATTTAACTTTAGAAATGCATGTCGATTTTGCGTGTATCTACAAGATATTGATTTTTCCATGGTTCTTTAATTACCAGGTTCTGCCAGTTGGAAAGGAACTCTTAGCATGTCTTTTGACCTTGAAAGAATTCACGTGTTCATTTCAAGGTAGAACAGCTCTTTTTTCTATTTTTAGGAAGTACCAACCTTCAGCACGGCAGGATCATGGTGAGACTGAAAAAGAATTGGACATGAACATTCCTGATGAGTGCAATTGGAGACAGTTTCCTCCCTTCTTATGTTGCTGGAAGATGTTGTCTGGTTACCTGAACTCCAGGGATGATTCCATGAACTATATCATCGAAGCAGTATATGCTTTAACTTTGAGTGCATTGCACCTTAGCATAGGAAGTGAAAGGTGTGTTCACTTCTGGTTACTTAACAACCATTTTCCCCTTGTATCAAGTTTTTGGACAATTATGTGCAGAAAATACATGGTAAAATGGTTATTTTCAACATGGAACTCATTTCAAGCTAGATTTTTTTAATTTATTATTATTATTATTTGTAGTTTAGTGTAAATTATGGTGAATATTTGCAATATTTGGCATTGATCTGAAAGCTTGTCTCATCTTTTTGCATCTTTGAGGTTGGCTACTTTGAATATATTAGATAACTTGATTTGGATAATTGCATTATAGCTTGAGGAGTTTCATAAAATATTTTCTTTCTTTCACTTTCGTTTTTTTAGAACTCCTCAGATTGCAATCAATGCTTTTCTCCTAGTCAACCTAGTGTATATCCACACCTCTGTCTAATATTCTCATCTCTGCCTCTCATTTTCATGCTGTTTCTTAATTACCCAACATTTTGATCCTTAAAGCATTTGATTACTATCCTGTAGAAATTTCCTTCAGTTTCATAGGTAATTTTACAATCACATAATATTATACAAGCACTTCTCCACTTTAACCATCTAATCTGATTCAATGGATCACATCATCCTCAATCTCAGCATCTTGATGAATGATTGATCTTAAATAGAGAAAGTGATTGCACTTAGATATTTTTTGGCTGTTACTTTTGTACTATACGCACATTACTTTTCATACTAGTACTAAATTTCATTGAGAGTTTTCTTTTTTGTTTGATTAATTCTAAACCCTTTAGATTCGAGAGCTTCTCTTCATCTTTCTCCTTTACGAATTATATTCCTCTTAGTCTCATAAACTAATAATTTGTTATCAAAAATAATAATTTTGTTTCTAAGCTATTTGCACATCCATATATTTTTGTATTGAGAAACATATATGAACACACCGTATCTGATCCATGTCGTGATTGGATGTACACCTTTTATCAGGACATTGATGGGAGATTGGACCACTATGGGATTTTTTTAATCTTTTAGATTCGCTTAGTAACATTATTACATTATTCACTGACAATATATGGCTGGTTAACAAAGGATTACATGTTCATTGATGAATTCTATATGGCTATTCTGAAAGATGATGTTCAATAAATGCAGTATTTTTGGCTAGGTTGCATTAGGAAAAACTAAGTATAGGGATAAATCATTAGCCCGCAGCAAATAATGATCATAAGCAGCCATTTAAATTGGGAAAATTTTTAGTATAAGTGAAATAGTGTGTTATGGAATAAAGCTCAGTCTTGAGCATGAGACCTTCCATAATCCAACCCCCCTATTTTCGGCTCCTCCATCCCATCAGTTTTAACAACCGAGTGTCAACATTCAGATGCTTGGAAGTGAAATGATTTTTTGTGTATAGAGCTGAAGCTTGAGTTGTGATTTTAAGAAGCAAGATGATCTATTAGAGTTAGCTTTTTAAGTTTTTCTGGAGAAAATAAAATTTTTAATGATGGTCGCTATTTTTCTCGTCAGCTGAAGATCTTTGAAGTTATTGATTTTGCTTGAACTTACAGTCTAATTTGCAATTTTCTTTTCCTAATAACTTCATTTTGCTTGTGGTAATATATTAGGTGTTGTTATGTTGAGAAGGAAGTTAATCTATTACGTATAGAAATCTACTAATTTTTCCCAGAGAAAGTAACAGTTTAATAATGTCATTCACTATTTTTGCTCGTCTTATCAAGAACACTGTAGATTTCATAACTTTTTCTACTTGAAATGTTGCATGTATTGTACTATGCAATTTCCTTTTCCTAATTATTTTATTTTGATTGGCTATTAGTTTGGAGGGCATTTCGATGATAAAGTTCCTTTTTGGGCTTCCGTATGGTCAGGATGTTACTTCGATGCCTCCAGATGGGATGCTGAAAGATGTACTTGAATTGTTAACTCTATTAAACGATAGAACTGCTGATGATAGTTTACCCGCACTTAGGATCAATTTACTTAAGGTACTTACAGATTCTTTCTTTTGTCTTGTCATCTTTTTTGTTCATTAATTTACTTCAGGTACTTGTCTTGCCATCCTTTTATTACTTTTTATTCATGATGGTAGTCTGCTATTTGCAGGCTAAAGAATCAGTCAAATCATTGTTGCTGTTGCTGCAGGGATCTTCGATCCCATTTTCTAAATCTGAAGATTTAACTTCAAGAGAAGGGTCTTGTACATTGAGTCACGAAGACTATGAGCAGACTGCATCACAGTTAATGTTAACTGAAACATTGTGTTCAAGTGATGATGAAACCTCATTTTCACATATTTGGAAGTCGATAGAAAATGCCGAAAGTGACAATAGCATCTTTCCAATAGGAAGTCTTGGCGACAAGTTCATGTGGGAGTGCCCTGATACTTCACCAGACAGACAACTCATGGCAGCTCCACCAGGAAAGAGGAAAATGGCATCAACAGAGATTTCTGGTAAACGTGTAAGAGAGAGTCCAGGGTCCGAGGTTGTTGGCTCAAATGCTTTTTCTCGAGGGCTCAGCACTCCTGCTATTTCATCTGCGCCTAGTCGTAGAGATACATTTCGACAGCGCAAGCCCAACACGAGCAGACCACCTTCCATGCATGTTGATGACTATGTTGCGCGAGAGAGAAATATTGATGGTGTGAGCGGTGGGTCACATGTCATAAGCTCTTCTCAGCGTGGTGGATCAACTAGTGGCAGGCCCCCTTCTGTTCATGTGGATGAATTTGAGGCTAGACAGAGGGAACGCCAAAATCCCACTTATGTGACAGTTGGGGAGAAACCACAGCAGTTGAAAGCTGATCTTGATGATGATCTTCATGAAATTGATATTGTATTTGATGAGGAGTCGGGATCAGATGATAAGCTTCCATTTCCCCATCCTGACGACAACCTGCAATCTGCTTCAGTTGTCGTTGGAGAAAGTTCGCCAGGATCTGTGGTTGAGGAGACTGAAGGCAATGCAAACGAGGATTCTCTTGCATTTGAAGATGTAGATTCTCATCCTAAGACTCCTCTGGAAAGGTCGGGTAGTAGTCAGCAAGACATACCGAAGGAAGGGAGCATTTCTTCAGAGAAGAATCATCGAGTGTCATCTATGGACAAAAAGGCATTCTTTTCTCAGCAGTGTGAGGAACCAAAGTCTGTGCCACCGGTTTTGATTTCCGAAAGACATGATGGCCTTACACCAGGAAATCTCAATCCCCTTCCCCCACACCCATTAAATGTTAGTTCAACAGCATCTATGCAGCAAATGCCACCGCCTACTTTTCACCAGAGGGACAGTCCTAAAAGAGTTAATACTTCTCTAGGTTCTGGATCTCAAGGATATTATGGGCATAAGTTTACCAGTACTCAACCGCCTTTACCTCCAACACCACCACCCAGTATTTCTATCACGTCACTGCAAACAACTGAATCTATACATGGAATCTCATCACATCATGTCCAGAGAGATACACAAACCCCACCATTTCCAGGATATCCCTTCCAATCTTTTAATGCCAGTGGTGCAATGGGTCTCCATGTAAGAGATGACACTCTTTTCAGTTTTTTGTCTTACTGTTCTTGTTTATATAATTATTGGCTCATCTTGTTGTATATATTTGTTGATTGCTGTCAACATGTCGCATCTTATAGGTTCAGTCAGGTAGTTTATCTTCCACAGTTAACAGTCCTCAAGTGTCGCTTATGAATGCTCAACTTGTATCGGATAACAAATACTTGTGGAATACAGATTCCCCTGGAAGTAGATTGCAGGTTGAGAATTATACTTCTGGTGGTTCGCGACCATTGCCACCACTCCCTCCGACACCACCACCATTCTCCACCCCAATGGCTCAATCATCCTTACCAAGTTCTGGCTCCCAATCATCATTGCATGCGCAGATTATAAGCAGCGGAAGCCAGCTTTCATCACTTTCTGCATCGATTAATGATTCCCAATTAGGAACATTCTCTGCTTCTGGACCGACCCTTACTTCCTTCTCGCTACCTCCATTTTCACCGTCATTGCTAATCAGTAGACCTCCTGTTTCTGGAAATATATTTAGCTCGCCAATGCAGCAACATGGACAAATCCCGTCTAATATTTCACTGTCTATGCCTAGTCCTCAGCATCCCCTCCAGTCAGTTCAATCCCAACCGCCGCCACCACCTCCACCACAACCCCCTCGTCCTCATCCTTCTCAGAACCTTGGCTTTCCTATTCAAATGCCTCAACCACAGTTTGAACAGGTGCTACCGATGCAGCAAAACTCTGTTCAAGTTCAGATGCAGCCCTTGCAGATGCAGCAGCAAATTCATATTCCACAAATACAACTCCTTTATCAGCAACATCAGCAAGAGCATCTTCCACAACCCCCTCAGCCACCTCTTGCACAGACTCAACAGAACCTACAAGCAGATAATGATCCAGGAATAACATTGCAGCAGTTTTTTTCTTCTCCAGAGGCCATTCAGGTAAGTATCTGTATATTATTTTGATTGCCATGCTTCTGAACTTGTTCAGTTATTATTGGTTTTGTGATTACTGATTATGATTTTTTGATGATTTGTTGGATAGTCTTTGTTGAGTGATCGAGATAAGCTTTGCCAACTTTTGGAGCAGCACCCAAAGCTAATGCAGATGCTTCAGGTTTGTCATCTCTATTAGCACGTGTTTGTTGGTTTCAGTTTGTTCTGAATCATGACTGTATTTCTACACTTAACCTGCTTTTCTGGTAGGCAACCCGACAGGTTCAATATTCCTTGCTTGGAATCAAACTATTGTCAGTTTTATTCTAGGTTATAGTGAGTTAGCTGATTTTTTTAATAATCGACCCACATATTTTGTTATATCTATTATGTTTTTTTTTTCCTTCTAGCTTGCTCTGTACAATATATAAATCATGACTGTATTTCTATAATGTGTTTACATGTTCTAAATACCATCCATTCTGTATATATCTTTAAGATGGCATTAGGAGGAATAACAATTGCAACAGAAAAGCATTTGTTCCCAGCCTTTGGGTTATTAAATAATGTAGATTTGCTTTAAAGAAAATTATGAAATAAGAACATATACACAGCAGAATGTATTCATTTTTTTGGCTGAAGCTTGTGAAGATCAAGATTAGTTGTAACCACGGTGCACACGCTTAATCATGTCCACCTTCACAATTTTTGCAAGAACTTATTTTTTGTAATCACTTGATGCACAGGTAAAATATGCTCAACTTATATGATATGCCTTTTAAGACATTGATCAAGTTTAATGGAATGGATCATCCATTTTCATCATATAATACACATTCTTCTGAGTAGGCAGAACTAAGCTTTTGGCATGTACATATACATACACATAAATATGCATACACATTTACATGTGCACACACACAACCACCCTCGCCTGTGAAACATTATTGGTGTCGTTGATTGTATATCTGTTGCCCTGTTTAGAATTTTTTATTGCTAAGTGGTCTTGACTCTTTGGTTCATAATGGCAATTTTTCGCTTTTTGCTTATCTTATTCCTTTATTTGATCACCTTAATTCATTTATGCTTGTTTTATCATTCATGAATTATCAGGAGCGCCTGGGCCAAATGTAGCTATGGGAAACCAGCCGAAGGCATTGATTCCTTTTGTTTACATCTGAGTTAAATCATACAACAGATTACGTCAACCAGGGGATCTAATCCCATAAATTTAGAGATTACGTCTATTAGTGCTACAGATTGCACCAAATTGAGAATTGAGAAATGACTTGCGTGTTAATGTTGCACATCAGAGCGGCCTGTAATTCTTCAATATCAAGGCAACGGGAGTGCAACTGCTCGGCATTTTTGTCTTACTGTATTTGTATATTATTTGTTGTACAATTCATCATAGTACATGTAACATTAAGGTGCGATTAAATTCTCAGCTTCTGTTGCGTAATTTTGAGAATGTGTTATTTCCGGCTTTGTTCCCCCATCTTGCTTTATTATTATTATTTCCTGTTTTTCTTTTCTGTTGATAGACCGTTAAAATCCAAATCATCTGTTTATGCGCCAGAATGAGATATTCATGGAGCTTTCGGTGTGTTTTCTGATAATGATATTGTATAAGAGAAGGTGCTAATTTACATGTTGCTAAGGTTGTGCACTGCTGTGCGCGCCCAGTGTTGGAGGAATATTTAGGGGTTAATTGGATTGTTGGTCATGGTGTTTATTTCATAATAATACGTTCATATTTATGTTTTAATTGCTTGGATGATTGGTTAAGTAATTAAATATTAATCGAATCGCATATATACTTTTAATATTTTTCGTTAAATAATTATGCATTTTGCTGACGTCACTTAAAACATTTCTTGATCATTTGATATAAATGATTTCTTCTAAGGGCTTGTTTGTTTCGTTTCTCCCAGAATCCAAAATCCATTTTCCTTCACTTTTTCACTTTCCCCTACTTTCTTTAACTCACTTTCCTTCACTTTCTCCACTTTTCCTTAATAATATTGTGACAACTCATCTCATCACATCTCATTTCTTACTTTTAAGAATAAACTAAATATAATAAATGAGTCACATCAATCAACTCATCTAACTCATCTCACCTAATTTTTCTTTATTTTTTACTATTTTTAAAAATTACTCATATCATCCAATAATATGGTGACAACTCATCACATCTCATTAAAATTTCCTTCCATCCCTTTCCTTCAAAAAAATAAAGAAATTGATTTTCCTAAGTATGGGTCACATCATCCAATAATATAATGACAGCTCATTTTCTCTCATTTATTAAATTGATTTTCCTAAGTATGGGTCACATCATCCAATAATATAATGACAGCTCATTTTCTCTCATTTATTTTCTTAGTTTTAAGATCATCCAATAATATAATGACAGCTCATTTTCTCTCATTTATTTTCTTAGTTTTAAGAATGAACCAAACATAAGAAAGAGAAAAAAATAAAGAAAGTAGGGGAAAACATCAAAAATTACTCATCTCATCCAATAATATAGTGACAACTCATTTTCTCCCTCACTTTCTTTCCGAATTTTGATGAACGAAACATCAAAAAGTAGAGGAAAACATCATAATTCATTTTCTTTTCCCTACTTTCTTTAATTTTTTGCGAAACAAACAGGCCCTAATGCGCAATTTCTTCATTAATTATGAAAATGAAAATTTGCGCAAATCAGATCACCTGTTATGGGTAATTGTGCTGCATTTGACATTTTGTTCTTGTAAAAATAAATAAAAATTTACAACTATTAAAGTATAGAAAACAGTACAAGTGACTAGCAAGTCAATTCATATTTAATTACATTACCAGTCACTCAAACAATCAAGGAACAAATTTGAACGTTCAATTATAGCATAAATACAGTGATGATCAATCCGATTAACTCATATATTTAAAGATGCATATATTTAGAGATGCATATTGTATTTTGGCAATTTGGTAATCTAAGTATCTAGGGTGAACTGTATAACTTCTGTCCATGAAGTTATGTTCAAGAATAAAAATTTGCACAGAAATACATAAATGTGCGCCAATATTTATAATTAATCTTGAAAAAAGGTTTAAAAAAATACATAATGGATAATGTCCGGGTGGAGTATTAACTTCTTTTTTTAATTATATCCGAACTGTGAATGCCTCATGGAAATTTTTTTAAAAGAGACCATTTCATAAAAGCATTTATCATTTTCCACCTACTACAAAAATATACCAATCTCGACCTAGTTTCAGTCATATCAGCTAAAACTAGGTTAATTTGGTGGGAAAAAATCCTCCGAAACCTCTACGGGACTAGCAGTCCCGTAGAGTTTGGTGACTGGATTAAGCTACATGGGATTGCCAATCCCTTGCAGTTTAACTCAAGTGAACTCCACAGGATTGCCAATCCGTAGTGTTTATCTCTATTGTAAATCTCTATAGGATTGCCAATCTAGTAGAGTTTATTCTTTAAAAAAAAACTCTACAGGATTGGCAATCCCGTAGAGATATACCTACTTTCAGCCCCAATTCCCAGCCTAAGGCTTCACCCTATTGCAAAATACATTGTATTGGCATTGAAAGCTAGATCACAATTTATAATAACATAAAAAACTACACAATATAAGAATACAATCATCATATCAATCTCTCTTTTATATCAATCCAACCACAAATCAAAAACACACAATTTAACATGTTCAAATCTCATATCATACATAATCCAAATACGAAAAAAAACGAAAAAAAGACACATACCTTGGTAGTGATTAGTTGAATACCACTTGGCGGCGAAAAGATAGTGTGAAATCCTCGCACCGCCCTCTTGATCAGAACAAGCCACTAAAACACGGAAATAAGGAAGTGATTGCAATTTTAGAATGTTGCTAGTGCATTTACAGCTACTAACATAAGTATGATCCACAAACATATTGACGTTGTAAGATCGATTTTCTCTATGTGAGAATCCCTCAGTGATCGCGTTATCATTTGTGATTTGAATGGTGGTGTTTCTGCTCTCCATTATGGGCCAATTGCAAACTACTTTGATTTTATGATTATTAGGATTGATCATTGTAAGTTGGCGTAATTCATTGATCATCTCATCAAAAGAGTATGATCTTGTAACCATCAACGACTATCTCATTGCTCCTTCATATTTGGACATACTATTATGATCAAAGATAGTTTCCCATTATATGAAAAAATAATAACTACTGTTGATGTTAAGTAGTCAAACAGTCAAATATGTGGGGGTGAGGTTGATTAGGGGGCTGCTCACTTCTCCGAATATCTGGTCTTGAGTTTAGTAGCTTCAGCTTGCACAAATAGAAACTCATGAGAGGACGGGGCTTGATTCCCCCATTGTACCTCCGATGATCAAGTCAGCTGGTGAACTTGAGTGAGAAAATAAAGAACTCTGTGAGTTCTTTAGCTGGTGAACTTGAGTGAGAAAATAAAGAACTCTGTGAGTTCTTTAACGTAGTGTAGTATAATTTGCAGATATTGCTAGGAATCCTTGGAAAGTGATCAGCAGAAAAAGATCTCTTTCAGTAAAGAATAGTACATCTATTTGTAGTAGTGCTGAAAGGGTAGAACCGTCACTTTGACTAAGCACAGGATAACGGTAAGAAGGTATGGGTCGGCGGCTGCGTCAACACCTACTTTGCACGTTCTAGTTGGCGAGTAGAGGAGAGATCACCTCAGCATTAAATGAGAAGTGATCGGAGGCATGACAGTGCTGTCGTGGTCCGATGAGTCATGAAGACTATCGGAGCTAGAAGTATGATGCGCCTGCCAACAATTAAATGTGACGCCGACGTGCTGCCAGCGGGAGAGGCTCGAGGACGAAGTTGTCTTTTAGTTTGACTAAGAAGTAATGTCTTTCGAGTCGACCTCGCGTTGCGTCGAATAACTGGTCGAGTAGGCTCGTGGCGAGTCGTCTTCGACAAGAGGATTGACAAGTACCGCCTTTCGAGTCAATCTAAGAAGATGTCGACTCGACGGGTCGGCTAAGTCAAGGCTCTTGGTGGTTTTGACTGTCAATCTGACTTGAGCGGTGCATGTAGGGGGACACATGTCCGTTGCTGGCAAAGGGTCGTACTTTGGCGACTGAATGCACCATAACAACTACCAAATTGTTCATTGTTACCTCTAGCAAACAAAATAATTTCAATATCAACCAATATTACAATATGTAAATAATATGTAAATATAATATTTTATGCATTATTCAACCGTAACATTACTTACCCTAATCTAACACTAACCTTTACATCATAACATCTCAATTTTCCCAAAAAAAAAACTCATTTCAAATTACCAAAAAAATTCATCATTTCAATTCCATAACTTTTAAATCATTTTCCATAAATTTTCATTTCTCAATCACATACGAACTTCCAAAAATCATAATAATAATCCAAAATATAAATCATTTACCCTGATCTGACACTAACGCTAACTTTTACATCATAACATCTCAATTTTTCAAAAAACCTATTTCAAAATTTTCTACAATTTCAAATCTCTCATTAGATACAAACTTCCAAATAATCATAATAATAATCCAAATTATAAACTAAAACAAGCTATTGGGAATGAAATGGATGACAATTTGAGAAAAATTATGAGAAAAATCATAAACGTTTGAAGAATTTACCAAAATTTATGTAGAAACCCTAGAAATTAAGTCCAACTATCTCCAAACAAACTCTGGCATGATCACCACCAAAGGGTAGTCACTGCTGGCGGAAGATGGTGGGCAAAATTTGTTGGACTCTAGAGGGGGGTGATTAGGGTCTTATGCTTATCTAATCCGATTAAATACCAATTAAAATTAATTAATGAGTTATCCTAGTAAGTATGAAATACAACAATGTATATGAGCTAGGATGAACAATAAGATATATCCTAACAAAGAAATATAGGCAATGTATGTGCAAGGATATATAAACTTAAGGGTAAACAATCTAAACTAGATAGTGAGCAATATAATCAATAAGCAATATACAAATGCAATATAAGATATGAACATAAAAGGAAGTGCGCTAATGCAATCACAAACAAGCAATATGATTACGGAGTTCGGTCCCCACGACCTACGTCTCCGCTCCTCACCTCGAGGAGATCTCCACTATCATAACCGGGTTTTCTACGTTCACCCGAACAACGTTTACACCTCACAATACAATCACTATGCAATCACACCTCACACACTAAGTGTTGGTCCTAGCCCGTGTCCTCCTCCTCAAGTGCTCGGTTACAACCTCTCCCTAGGCACGTCAACCGACGCCACTCCTCTTGGATTCGACCCCGTCTCTCATCACACACTTCTCTCGGTGTACAAGTGTATTACAAGTAAATCCTTATAATTAGGCTCAACAAATGATTGTTCTCTAAATAAAGTGAGAACTCAATTTGGCACAACTCTAAGTCACAAACCCCACAACCCAAAATATACTATGAATGTAAATACTATAAGCTCAATAGGTTGTGTGTGATCAAAGAGATAAA